TTCCTTCAGAGGAGTGGCTGGTGGGTTTGAACCGCCAGCCATCTGGTTAGCAGGCAAGTGTGTTAGCCACTATGCTACCAGAGCTCCCACATAGATGGTAGCATACCAAATTAAACACAAAATAGCATGTTTCGTTTCCCTTGGGTTCGCCTAAGGTCAGAGCAAGGGTTAATAGGCCAGGTGGGAAGCCGGGAGAGCCGGGCTCACACCTTTCCCAGAGCCTTCGGGTGGCTGGGGGCCAGGGAGGGGAGGAGGCTGGGGCCAGACGCCTCGCCGCCTCCGCCTTGGCGAATAGCAGCACGATGTCCGCCTGGATTGGAGCAGCAGCATCACGCTGACCTCTGACTGGGATGTAAACCGGGACGGGCGCTGCGGGGAGAGGAAAGTGCTGGGCTCCTCTGAGAAAGCAAGCTCCAACGCAGGGCTCCGACCAGGTCCGAGGGGAGCAGCGGCAGCTCGACCGCAGCAGCGCCCTGTGGTGGCCGCGGGAAGTAGAGAAAGCGTGACGGGGGCGGGGGCGCGGGCGCGGGCGAGGAGCGTGCTTCTGTTTGCACAGGCTGGGAGGAGGAGAAGCAGAGTTAGCCATGGCTGGAGACAGCGAGCAGACCCTGCAGGACCACCAGCAGCCCAACGGCGGCGAGCCTTTCTTGATCGGCGTCAGCGGGGGCACAGCAAGCGGCAAGGTACTGCGCGGCCCTGCCCGGCGGCGCTTGTGGTGGGGGTAGGGGCCGGCGCAGGCAGTTGCTGCAGCCACCGCGTGGCCAGCGTGGCTCCTCACTCCGGGCCCCCGTCCAGAGCGAAGGCTTCCCCCTCCTCCTCTGGGCGAGGGGCGGCCAGGGACTTGGGAAATCGTGGTTCCCCGGGTACAGCGGCCACCGATTTCTTGGCTGGCAAGCTAGCTCCCCATTTTTTCCCAGCGTATTTAACTCGTAGCTGGGGTCCTATGGAGGAGGGGCAGGAAAGCGGATGCTTATTGTTTCGCAAGTCTGGTGCTGGGGACGCCGACTTTAAACAGAATCTCGAAGGAGCCCCCGATGCAAAAGGCCCCTGCCCTGCACCCTTGCACTGATGTGCTCGCGCAGTTGCGCGGCCCCAGTGCTGAGGGCGGAGCGAGCCGGAAAGCCCCTTCCGCATGCTTGCGAGGGTGGTTGTATCCCTCGGGGCGGCGGCCGGGAAAAGGGGAGCCCTGCTTGGGCTGGACGCTGGAACTGGGATATTGCATAGGGTGTCGGGTGAAAACCAAATAGGCGCTGTGATATCATGAAGTTTTAATAGCAGCTTGTGTTTTAATGGTTTTAAGAAGAAAAGTGGTCAGCTTCAATGAGAAAGTTACACTGGCCGCGTGCTCTTAGGTCTTTGGAACTTACGCGTCTTGTACCCACGGAAAGGGGTTGCCCTATGGGTGTCTGATTCCCCTGGAAGCCTATTTTCTTTGTTCTATCTGTAAGGCAAGGAGAGGCAAGGGAAGTGACTTTCTAGTTTTACCCTGGGCTTTTTGTGCAGGTGGAGAAGGGTGGAGCCCTACCAGATGGTTCGTCATTTGCCCCCTGAACTGCCTTAAAGATGTGGCTACTTGTTTTCCCTACCTTTTAACACCCTCCAACTTCGTTTGGAATAAGGATTTCTCAAGGGGAGCTGCATGCTGGGTTTTGTGAGACAGGATGATGCCTCCAAGGGCTGGAGCGAGGCAGAGCAAGAAGGCTGGCTGGCGCCATGAGAAGCGAGCCACGAGGTTTTTACACCAGAGCCGACTCTTCTGTAGCCCCTCCTCCATTTTGATTTTTCATTTTTCCTCCAGGCCTGGACTGCTTTGACGCACGGGGTGCAGGTTCAGCCTCTGTCGAACTTATTTACTAATTAAGTTACACTAGTATTTGTGCCTGCTTTAAGGAGCTGTGGTTAAAGCATTGGGCTGGTAACCTAAAGGTTGGCAGTTGCGGCTCCGCGGGAGAAAGATGAGGCAGTCTGGGGCATTTCTACGCTGTCATATAGGGTCACTATGAATCAGAATGGACTCGATGGCAGTGGGTTTGGTTTTCTGGGTTAGGTCCTTGAAGTTTATGTTGCGTTTTTCCCCTGGTTGCATGAATTTTTTAACTTTCATATGTGACATTTTGTAATTTAAAGCAAAACCAGGTGCCACCGCATTTAGGAAGAATTCCTTGTTCATTTAGAATTAACCTTGCTCTCTTGTTCCCATAGCATATTCCCGTTGCAGTGGACCTTTTTTCTTTATTTCACTGCTGTATCCTCAGCGCTCCCAGCACATGCCAGGCATATAATTGGGGCCAAAATACTAACTGATGATCTGAGGTCCAGCGTTCCTAGGGTGGAGAGAAACTTGCAAATAAATGTAGCTTTTAGAAACAATATGACCTTGGTAATCAACTAGTTTAGACACTACAGAGGTGGGGATTGAGGCCCTAAATAGGGAAATAACTCTAGTTTTCTTATTTTTGTGTGTTTCTCAATCATCACATGTTGTCAGTTGTGATAATCAGTTTAAGGTGTATTAAGATGTTAAATGGGAGCGAATAGTGAACCATTATGGGAATAACTCTCTGCTGTCCCCATTTCTCTCCACAGAAGGTTATGGAAGCTCCCAAGAGTCTGTTCTCAAGCATGTTGTACGTTTTGGACATATGATAAATACTTTGTCAGTGTTTAAGATTATTTTAATATTTTTTTCTAGAATTTTAAGTGCAAAGAAGCATTGGATTTTCAAAATCCATGTTATAACTAGTTTGTGGCAATTACATCTTGATTTTGTTATTTTGGGGAACCTTGGGTGGTACAAATGGTTAAATATGTTTAATTGCTAACTGAAGGGTTAGAGGGCTGGTCTATGCAGAGGCCCTTGGAAGAAAGGCCTGGCAATCTACATCTGAAAAATCAACCATTAAAAATGTCTGGAGCACCCTTATGCTCTGACAGCGTGGGATTGCATGAGTCAGAACTGACTGGAAGGCACCTGGTTTTCTGTTATTCCAGTCCTTGGTGCATTCCTCTAAAGAATTCAAAGGTGTTTTTTTTTTTTTTTTTTTTTTATTAGGATTTGGGTGAAGATTTACAGAGTAAATTCACTTTTCATACAGCAGTTCACATATACTTTGTCTCATG